CATAATTTTTGCAAGTCTGTGAGGAGGAAGGTGAGTTGGGGTAGGGAATGAACATCTTATCCAAAAAATCAGTAAAGGATTCTACAGGAAGTAAGATCTGAAATGTAGGAGGGCTAACGGTAGGGTAGGGGCAGTGAGGGAAGAGGGAAAAATTCAGGCAAAGGAAAAAGCAAGTATACAGAGAGAGCCTGGCTTAGCCAGGAACCAGAAATTAGTTCAGCCTGGAGGGATCAGAGGGTTCAGTAGAGGGATCAAGAGATGAGGCAATTGCACCTTGAGTGCATTGTCCTCTTGTGAAGAACACACATTCCTTTGGATAGAGGCTGTGTAATAGTCCTAGCCTCTTGACTATTCAATGTGTGCATCAGTTAGGGAGTGCAGCCAAGGCATTTTCTGTGGCCCAAACACAACTCCTCTTGGTGTGCAGCTTCTGCTCAGGCAAGGAGCCTGAGGGACCTGCAGCAATATTCACCAGCAGGAATCTGGAATCCTCACAACATGGGTGCATTTCTAATCTGTAGACGTGTTGGATCTAGACAGGTACTTGGCTTCTCCCTCTGGGAATCTTGCTTCACCAATTCCCAAACTGCAGTAACCAGAACACTGAGGGCATCCTCTTTGCTCAGACAGGCTTTCTAGTACTTTGAATCCAGTGTCTTCACTTTATGTAACTAATGTACTTTTTTTTTTTCACAAAAATAGAAGTTTCCCTGGAGAGCCCACACTAGCTGTTCTTCCTTCTCTTTTCTGTAGCAGGGCTGCCCTGCCTGCTACTTATCAGGTCTGAAAAGGAGGTTTAATTTCTCAACTATTCAAGGAGGCTCTTGGGGGGGTGTCATTCACTGCATCGCTGACTTCTGGGCCAGCACAAATTGAATTCCATGCATGCATGCTTATCTGTCTTTGACAGACCCTTGGAGTCTTGCCTCTCACAGGGCGGTGTGGATGCAGAGGCTGCTGCCTTTCCCAGCCCCCTCACTCTGTGCGTATTGCTCTGTCTCCCCTTCTATTACAGCTGCTCCTTCCTCTAGGTCTCTCCTTAGTGTCTGCTTTCCACCTCTGCTGACTGTAACCTTCTTTCTCAAACACTAAGCCTCCTAAAATGTTTTTTGGGCAGTCTCCAGATAAATCACCAGAAAAGTCTCCAGATGAGCTGTGCCCTGAATAATGACATGTTTTAATTCAAGTACAGTCAGTGTCCAAAGATCTCTAAGCGCTTGCTACACCTGATCAGCAAGTACAAAGTGCAAAATTAAACTAGAAAGAAATGCTCTGCCAATGAAGTCTCCAATTCGGAAAAACAAAGCAAATACCTCTTCTTAACAAGAAAATTGACAATAAAACACTTTTTTTTTTTTTTTTAAAGAAAGCACATCCTTCATACTTTTTGGAAGGTTTAGGGATATCTTGGCAATCCGGGGGGTAGTTATTGCTTAAATAAAATAAAAGACAATTCTGACTTCTGACTGTGAGAACCATAGTATGAAGGAGATAGAAAGCTAAAGAGCACCTTGTCTGGTGGCCATGTTGAGGTGAAGAGCAGAAGACCCAGGAGCTCTCCTGCCAGGGCAACCTCTTGGCAGTAGTCCCTGAGGAGCTGGTCCCTTTGTCTATCAGTAGCTTTTCATACTTACATTTTCCTAGTTTCCTGCGGGATAGCCACTGAGGATACATAAATTGAGGTTAATAAGTAGATATACCAAAAACATGTGCCTTGTGAGCAATTTCTCCCAGAAGAAAGGTGATCCCCTTATTAGTACTTTGGCCAGAGATACAAATATGGGTTATGCATATGGAAAATGGACAGACATACAGCCTGTAGGCATTAGGCAAGATGCCAAATACCCTCTTAAAATGTGTATGAAAGGGAAGTAGACACCTTGGGGGAACAGCCACTCTTAACTCACAGCTGCTTCCTGCCCCCAGCTAGATTTTTATGGAGAATAATGCACTTCCTGTTCAGATAAAAGTTGTTGCTCGGGTCTGTTTTCACCCACATTCATTAAACGATGAGCCATGGTAGTTCTTGCCAAAGACTTTTATTAGGAGTCGAAGAAAGAACTCAGGAGGGCAGTTTGACTTCTACATGATGGTACGTTTGACTCTTCAGATTTTCCTTTGGTAGTAAATTTTGCTCCTGCTGACAGCAAGAATAATTGCTGCATACAGAGTTTAACTCTATTTTCTTGCTGGACTTTTTACAGTATAAGCAATCTTGGACAACAAAGTTTTCAGACCAAATCCCGCTTCTGAGCAGAGAAAATCAACTTGTATTCTGATGTCCAACCCTACAGCCATCAGCTTGTTGTGACAGTAGAAAGAATGTTTGCTTTGAATTGCTCTTTATATTCCAGATGGTAGCAAATAATAAAATACTTATTTTTTAAAAAAATTATGCATGATAACTATTCTATTAAATAAACACAACTTCATGAGGTGAGATTTTCATATTTTAAAGTATTCTCAAGTATTTAGGTACTTAGGTATTTGTGTATTGTCTTTCACTACCTTCTGACTATTGTCTATAATTCTCTGCATTCTTTCTCCATTTGATGTTGCCATTTAGGAATAATGGTATTTTACCAAGCTATATCTTTTTGTTGTTGCGGTTGTTGCTGGGGATTGAACCCAGGGCCTTGTGCATGTGAGGCAAGCACTCTACCAACTGAGCTATATCCCCAGCCCAGGATTGTATCAAGGAAATAGCTTTAGCATTGGTGTATTTTATTAATACATCTTATTTCACTTGTTGGGGATCTATAAAAAATGTTTCTACTGTTTTCATCTTTCAAATATATTCAATAGGATTCTGAGTCTCCAGAAAATCTATTCTTTTCCCTGGTTTTCACTCAACCGATTACCAGGGACTGGAGAAATGAAAACATAGGGGTAAGCTGCTCTACTTTTTTTTTTTTTTTTTAATATGCCATCTCCTGTTGGGAGACGGGGAGCTTCCCAAGTTCTTCAAGTGGCCACGGACTTTCATTTTGACTTGTTGCCCAGTTAGAAAGGTAACTTTTAAAAATGGATGCATATTGATTATACAGAACAGTGGGTTTTATGGTAGAATATTCATCCATGAATCAATTGAACTCCCTAATATCTCCCTGTCATGATTTAGATGTGGTGTCCCCCAAAAGTTCACAAGTGAGACAATGCAAGGTTTGTATGAAAAATGATTGAGCAAGAGCCTTAACTTAATCACTGAATTAATCTCTGATGGGATTAACATGGTGGTAAGTGGGGGCAGGTGGGTGTAGCTGGAGGAAGTGGTTCATTGGGAGCATGGTCTATATACATCTTGTATCTGGAGAGTGGAGTCTCTCTCTGCTCTCTGATCATCATGTGAGCTGCTTCCCTCTGCCACACTCTTCTGCCATGATTTTCTGCTTCACTTCAAGCCCTGAGGAATGGAGCCGGCCTTACTATGCACTAAGACTTCTGAAACTGGATCCCTCAAATAAACTTTTCCTCCTCTACAGTTGTTCTGGTTGGGTCTTTTAGTCATAGCAACAAAGTAGCTGACTAAAACATTCCCTTTCCACCCCCTGCCTCTCCCCCTGATTCCCTTCCTCTACACTAATGGTCTCCCTCCTACACTCATGATGACATTTCCCTGCCCTCCCTTTCCCATCTGGCTTCCATAATGAAAAAAAAAAAAATACAACACAACACTTGTCTTTTTCAGCCTGCTTATTTCAGTTAACATGATGATAGCCACTAACTTTGGAAATGAGTATAGAAGTTCTTCATAAAACGAAAAATAGAACTACCATACAATCTACCTATATCATTCCTTAGTATTTATCTGAGGGAATAAAATTGAGCATACTTTAGAGTTACGTGCGTACCTATGTTCGTCGTGCCACTGTTCATAGTAGTCTAGGTGTTATGGAAACAGTCTAGGTGTCCATCAAAAGATAAATAAATAAAGAAAGGGTGGTATACATTATTCAGCATAAAGAAGAAAAAATATATCATTTGAAGAAAAATGGATGGATCTGGAAATCATCATGTTAAGAAAGATTTCTCATTTTATTCTTTCCAAGATACTAATACAAATGCTTCTGAGGAGCAGAAAAGATAATCTGTCTAATGCAAAAATGTTGCCAGAGCTGGCAATCTGCATGATTTCTCTCTGTAGTTGAAAAAGAAGCTCTACTTTCTAGTGCCATTCTTCATCTTGAGCAGAACCCAGGGGGGGAAAAAAATCCTAGTATCAGATTGAGGGGATTCTGGAAGCTTCCCAAATTTCTTGCTGCTTACACTCTGCCACAGGACCAACCACGCCCTTAGATAAGTGACAAATTCCACACTTTTACCTTTCTCTCTGGTCCAGGAATGAAGTCAAAAGTAGAGCATACATTTCCTAGATCTGAGCTGTTCATTCTTGATCATAATCAGTTTATTCCAATAATGATCATGCAAAATTCTCTTGAAGTTAATTTTGATTATCATTATATATATATATTTAATTTTTTAAATTGTAGTTGGACACAATAACTTTATTTTATTTATTTATTTTTATGTGGTGCTGAGGATCCAACCCAGTGCCTTCACATGCTAAGTGAACGCTCTACTGCTGAACCACAACCCCAGCCCCTTTTTATATATTTTTAATTGTATATGATACAATACTTCCATTTTATTTATCTTTATATGATGACAAGGATTGAACCCAGTGCTTCACCTAAGCCAGGCGAGCCCTCCACCACTGAGCCGTAATCCCAGCCCATCATTCTATTATAACTACATTTATGTTTTGAACAACAATAAAAAATGGTATTTGAAACTTGCACTGACCTCAAGATCACCAAATTTTAAAAAATAAAATTATTTTTCAGATCATGTAAACAGTTTTACCTTCAGGTCACACTTTGAACATTACTCTTGATGATTTTAACTTCATGAACTAAAACATGTTAGGTTTTATTCTCAAAATTTAAATGACAGGCTTAGAATACAAAATATTTTAAATAATAGTTCAGCAAAATAGAAAACTGAATTTATAAATAGTTGCCAAATTAATGTATAACAATTCGTTTTCCAGATGTTGGTGGTTTTGTCAATAGGTGACTCTGTTCCCTGAGTCATTTTCAGGTATGTATAGTATTCTATAAAGACTGATTACAAAAATGGACCTATTCTTCATATCAGTCTGAATTCATCTGCAACTTTTGCAGTGTGACTTTGTAGTTCTTCTCACCAATTGTGGTTGGAATGTAATCCTCCACCTCTTGAATATGATCTGGCATTGTGACTCTTTTTGCTGATAGAACTTACAGTGTGACTGTTCTGAGGTTAGAACAAATGACCTTTGTATTTTGACCCATTTTCTTTAAATACTGCTGCAACCATATGCAAAACCTCTGAATGACATTATGAATGTGGCACCATCACCACCATTGCCCCAGCTCCAGTCAGCTACTCAAAATCCATGTGGACCAGTCCCCAGCCAACCTGCCTGGTGACCACAGGCACAAGACAGATTCTAGCTGAGACTACCCAGGTCTGACCTAGATTAACACAACTATTCAGCTATTATATAATCATGCAAGCAACAATAAATAGTTCCTTCAATCACTATTTTTTGAACAGTCTGCTACTCAGCAAAAGATAACTGAAGTAAAATTTGTTTTCTGAGATGAGGAGCTGTTATAATATAAACTTTAGACTGGGGAACTGATAGAGGCTGGAGAAGTAGAGAGACAATTTTTTTGTCATCTTTAGTTTTTTTGATGAGAGTCATCTTACTAAAGTGGCTCTTGTTGTGGTTTTGATTTGTGTTCCCTAATGATGAAGGATGTTAATTTTTTTCATATCCTTAGTAACTATTTGTATATCTGCTTTCAAATACTGTTTTTAAGGTTATTACTCATAGAAAAAAATGGGTTATTTGTTATTTTGTTATTGAGAGTTTTTAAAAATTAATTAATTAATTTTAATTAATATGAAAGCAGAATGCATTTTGATTAATTGTACACAATTGCAGCACACCTTTTCATTTCTCTGGTTGTACATCATATGTACCTAGGGTAATGATATCCATCTCATTTCACCATGTTTCCTGCCCCTATGCCCTCTCCCCTCCCCTTCCCCCCTTTTCCAAATTATAGTTCCTCCATTTTTCACATCCCCCACCCCATGATGCATCAGCCTCCACATATCACAGAACATTTGGCCTTTGGTTTTTAGGGATTGGCTTACTTTGCTTAGCATGGTATTCTCCAACTCCATCCAATTACCTGAAAATGCCTTAGTTTTATTTTCTTTTATGCTGAATGATATTCCATTGTGTATATATACCACAGTTTCTTTATCCATTCATCTATTGAAGGGCATCTAGGTTGGTTCCACAGTTTAGCTATTGTGAATTGTACTGCTATAAACATTGATATGGCTGTATCACTGTAGTGTGTTATTTTTAATTCCTTTGCGTATAGACTGAGGAGTGGGAAACCTAGGTCAAACAGTGGTTCCATTCTAAGTTTTCTAAGGAATCTCCATAATACTTTTAAGATTGGCTGCAACAATTTGCAGTCCCACCAGCAATGTATAAGTGTGCCTTTACCCCCAGGTTCTTGCCAACATTTATTGTTGTCTGTATTCTTCATAACTGCCATTCTGACTGGCATGAGATGAAATCTTAGAGTAGTTTTAATTTGCATTTCTCTAAAATTACTAGAGATGTTGAACATTTTTTCATATATTTGTTGATTGAATATATATCTTTTTTTGAGAAATGTCTGTCCAGCTCCTTAGCCCATTTATTGATTGGGTTATTTTATTTTTTGGTGTTAAGTTTTTTGAGTTCTTTATATATCCTGGAGATTAGTGCTCTATCTGATGTGTGTGTGGCAAAAATTTGCTCTCAAAATATACTCTCTCTATTCACCTCAATGATTGTTTCTTTTGCTGAGAAGAAACTTTTTAGTTTGTGTCCATCCCATTTATTAATTCTTGATTTTATTTCTTGCACTTTAGAAGTCTTTTTAAGGAAGTTGGGACCTAATCCGACATGATGAAGATTTGGGCCTATTTTTTCCAGACACAGGGTCTCTGGATTAACTCCTAGGTTTTTGATCCACTTTGAGTTTTGTGCATGGTGAGAAATAGGTATTTATTTTCATTTAGCTGCATATGGATTTCCAGTTCTCCCAGCACCATTTGTTGAAGAGGCTATCTTTTCTCCAGTGTAGGTTTTGGGTGCCTTTGTCTAGTATGTGATAACTCTATTTATGTGGGTTTGTCTCTGTGTCTTCTATTATGTACCATTGGTCAATGTGTCTATTTTGGTATCAATTCCTGCTTCACTTTTTTTGCTAAGGATTGCTTTGGCTATTCTGTGTCTCTTATTTTTCCAAATGAATTTCTTGATTGCTTTTTCTATTTATATAAGGAATGATGATGAGATTTTAATTGGAATTGCATTGAATCTGTATAGCGCTTTGGGTAGTAGGGCCATTTTGACAACATTAATTTTTGCCTATGCAAGAGCATGGGAGAGCTTTCCATCTTTTAAGATCTTCTTCAATTTCTTTCTTTAGTGTTCTGTAGTTTTTATTGTAGAAGTCTTTCACCTCTTTTGTTAAGTTGATTCTCAAGTATTTTTTTTTTTTTTTGAGGCTACTGTGAATGGAGTAATTTTCCTAATTTTTCTTTTAGAGGATTCATCACTGATGTATAGAAATGCACTTGATTTATTAATTAATTTTACATCATTCTACTTTTTAAAATTTATTATTAGTTCTAGAAGTTTGTTGATGGAGGATTTGGGTCCTCTAAGTATAGAATAATGTCATCAGCAAATAATGATAGATTGATTTCTTCTTTTCCTGTTTGTATCCTTTTAATTTCTTTCATCTGTCTAATGGCTCTGGCTAGAGTTTCAAGGACTATGTTGAACAGAAGTGATGAAAGAGGGCATCCTTGTCTTCTTCCAGTTTTTAGAGGGAATTCTTCCATTTTTTTTCCATTTAGAATGTTGGCCTTGCTTTTAGCATATATAGCTTTTCCAGTGTTGAGGTATGTTCCTATATCCCTAGTTTTTCTAGTGTTTTGAACATGAAAAAGGGCTATATTTTGTCAATGCTTTCTCTACATCAATTGATATAATCATATGATTCTTATCTTTAAGTCTATTGATGTGATAAATTATATTTAATGATTTCTGTATGTTGAACCAACCTTGCATCCCTGGAATGAACCCCACTTGATCATGGTGCACTATTTGTTTAATATGTTTTTGTATGCAATTTTCCAGAATTTTATTAAGAATTTTTGCATCAATGTTCATCAGGGATGTTGGCCTGAAATTTTTTGTTCCTTGATGTGTTTCTACTTGTTTTGGTAACAGAATGGAGGGATTCCTTCCTTTTTTATTTCATGAAATAATTTGAGGAGTATTGGTATTAATTCTTCTTTGTAGGTCTTGTAAGACTCAGCTGTGAATCCGTCTAGTCCTGGGCTTTTTTGTTGTTGTTGTTGTTGTTGGTAGGCTTTTGATGGTGTCTTCTATTTCCTTGCTTTAAATTGAGCTGTTTAAATTGTGCAATTTGTGAAACCCAGGGATGATGCTTTAACTATAACAAAATAATATGCTACTGAATGACAGATGAATAACAGAAGACATCAGGGAGGAGATAAAAAAAATCTTAGGGGTAAATGAGAACTCCGATACAACTAAGAGGAAAGTTCATTGCATTAAGCTTGTTGTGCTGTGTATGTGTAATAAGAATTGTAATGCATTCTACTATCATTTTTTAAAAACTCAATAAATATAAAAAAGAAAAAGTCAACAAATAAATGACCTGACATTATATCTCAAAGCCCTAGAGAAAGAATAACAGACCAACATCAAAAGTAGTAAAAGACAGGAAATAACTAAAATCAGGGCAGAAATCAATGAAATTGAAAAAAAAGAAATAATTCAAAAATTGACCAAACAAGAAGCTTGTTCTTTGAAAACATAAGTAAAATTGACAAAACTTTAGCCACCCTACCAAAAAGAAGGAAGGAGAAAAATCATATTACTAAAATTTGTGATGAAAAAGGTAATATCACAACACTATTGAAATAAGAAGACAATTAGAAACTATTTTGAAAATTTATACTCCAGTAAAATAGAAAATATCGAAATTATAAAATTTATACTCCAGTAAAATAGAAAATATTGAAATAACTGGCAAATTTTTAGAGGCATAAGATCTACCCAAACTGAGTCAAAAGGACATGCACAATTTAAACAGCCAACATCCCTGATGAACATTGATGCAAAAATTCTTTTTTTTTTTTTTTTAAAG